ATAGAAAGGGACTGCCTTACTGTCTTCATTGTGCTCAATCATTGGCTAAGAGCAGCCTGTGGGAAGTCTGATCTTTAGCTTAAAGGCAATGATGGAGTCAGAGGGCAGGCTGGAGATTTTTATGGCCACCAAAGATATGTTGTTTTAAAATTTTCATTGCTATAAACAATTCTGAAATTAATATATGTGTGTTTATGTGTGTGTGTGTAGCATAATAATTGCTCTAGGATTATATAAATAGTAGCAGGATTACTGGGCCACAAGTTATATGCTTTTTATAGTTTATAAAATTTTCAGTGCATTCTTCCATGTGTCTATAGTAACTTAAGCTCTCTGTAGCATTTAATTAAAATTTACATGTTTTGCCAGTCTTGATCTTACCCATTTAAAAATATTTAAGAGATATGATAGGTAAACAATAAAATCCCTTTTTTCTTTTACTTTGTATTTCTCTGATTACTAATGAAGTTGAACACCTTTCTATGTGTTTATTGATTCTCTTTTTTCTTCTGTAAATTGCCTGTTCTTGTCTTTCCCCCATTTTTCTTTTAGTAGTCTTTTTCTTTATTGATTTTTAAAATTTGTTTCAATATACTCTAGATACATTATCATAATATGCATTATCTGTTGCATACATTGAAAATATATTTTCCTATAAGTTTCATTATCATCTTTTCACTTTGTTTGTGGGACTATTAATTATATAGAAAGATTAACTGGTGACATAGCCAAACTTTACTTTTTTGATTTGTGTTTCTTGGACCCTGTTTAAAAAGCTCTTCTCCATCCAACACATAAAGATTTTCAGCCATATTTTCTTCTAATGGCAGATTAAAATTTTGTTTTTCATATTTAGTTATTTTTTGGTCCACATGAGACTTATTTTTATATATTTGCATGCATAGAAATGTAATTTTATTCTTCGATGTGTCCAGGATTACATATCTAATTCTTGACTGTTTCCAAACTTTAAGCAAATACTCTTTCTACACCCTGAGTTATCCTGAAACAAGTGCACCACATGGGCACTTTGCAGAAGAGAATGGGTAGGAATATTTTAGATGCAGTTTGTCTCATTCTGGGCTACTCAAATTTATAGCAAACCGAAAGGTTGTAGACAAATAAATGGGCAGATGGGCTTTAGAATATGTTTATTGACAAAACTTTTTGAATTACTCATTAAATGATATTTGACTAAAATTCTAACAGGAGTAATAGCATTCAGCTGTCATGCTTTTCAATTTGATATACAAAAATGAAATTCAAAATTACATTCATTTGACTTTAAATCAATTATTTTAGAATTGACTTCAGTGCATAAAGCTAAATTGTTAAATGGAATCCATTAAAAATATTAAATGAGTTTATACAAACAAAATAAAAGGAAAGGTTTCTTTTTTTTTCAATATATGAACTTTATTGTCAAATTGGTTTCCATACAACACCCAGTGCTCATCCCAAAAGGTGCCCTCCTCAATACCCATCACCCACCCTCCCCTCCCTCCCACCCCCCATCAACCCTCAGTTTGTTCTCAGTTTTTAAGAGTCTCTTATGCTTTGGCTCTCTTCCACTCTAAACTCTTTTTTTTTTCCTTCCCCTCCCCTATGGGTTTCTGTTAACTTTCTCAGGATCCACCTAAGAGTGAAAACATATGGTATCTGTCTTTCTCTGTATGGCTTATTTCACTTAGCATCACATTCTCCAGTTCCATCCGTGTTGCTACAAAGGGCCATATTTCATTCTTTTGCATTGCCATGTAGTACTCCATTGTGTATATAAACCACAATTTCTTCTTTTATTATTTTTTTTTTAAATTTTTTTTTCAACGTTTTTTATTTATTTTTGGGACAGAGAGAGACAGAGCATGAACGGGGGAGGGGCAGAGAGACAGGGAGACACAGAATCGGAAACAGGCTCCAGGCTCCGAGCCATCAGCCCAGAGCCTGACGCGGGGCTCGAACTCACAGACCGCGAGATCGTGACCTGGCTGAAGTCGGACGCTTAACCGACTGCGCCACCCAGGCGCCCCTAAACCACAATTTCTTTATCCATTCATCAGTTGATGGACATTTAGGCTCTTTCCATAATTTGGCTATTGTTGAGAATGCTGCTATAAACATTGGGGTACAAGAGCCCCTATGCATCAGCACTCCTGTATCCCTTGGGTAAATTCCTAGCAGTGCTATTGCTGGGTCATAGGGTAGGTCTATTTTTAATTTTCTGAGGAACCTCCACACTGTTTTCCAGAGTGGCTGCACCAATTTGCATTGCCACCAACAGTGCAAGAGGGTTCCCGTTTCTCCACATCTTCTCCAGCATGTATAGTCTCCTGATTTGTTCATATTGGCCATTCTGACTGGCATGAGGTGATATCTGAGTGTGGTTTTGATTTGTGTTTCCCTGATGAGGAGTGACGTTGAGCATCTTTTCATGTGCCTGTTGGCCATCTGGATGTCTTCTTTAGAGAAGTGTCTATTCATGTTTTCTGCCCATTTCTTCACTGGGTTATTTGTTTTTCGGGTGTGGAGTTTGGTGAGTTCTTTATAGATTTTGGATACTAGCCCTTTGTCTGATATGTCATTTGCAAATATCTTTTCCCATTCCATTGGTTGCCTTTTAGTTTTGTTGGTTGTTTCCTTTGCTGTGCAGAAGCTTTTTATCTTTATAAGGTCCCAGTAGTTCATTTTTGCTTTTAATTCCCTTGCCTTTGGGGATGTGTCGAGTAAGAAATTGCTACGGCTGAGGGCAGAGAGGTCTTTTCCTGCTTTCTCCTCTAAGGTTTTGATGGTTTCCTGTCTCACATTCAGGTCCTTTATCCATTTTGAGTTTATTTTTGTGAATGGTGTGAGAAAGTGGTCTAGTTTCATTCTTCTGCATGTTGCTGTCCAGTTCTCCCAGCACCATTTGTTAAAGAGACTGTCTTTTTTCCATTGGATGTTTTTTCCTGCTTTGTCAAAGATGAGTTGGCCATACATTTGTGGGTCTAGTTCTGGGGTTTCTATTCTATTCCATTGGTCTATGTGTCTGTTTTTGTGCCAATACCATGCTGTCTTGATGATGACAGCTTTGTAGTAGAGGCTAAAGTCTGGGATTGTGATGCCTCCTGCTTTGGTCTTCTTCTTCAAAATTACTTTGGCTATTCGGGGCCTTTTGTGGTTCCATATGAATTTTAGGATTGCTTGTTCTAGTTTCGAGAAGAATGCTGGTGCAATTTTGATTGGGATTGCATTGAATGTGTAGATAGCTTTGGGTAGTACTGACATTTTAATAATATTTATTCTTCCAATCCATGAGCATGGGATGTTTTTCCATTTCTTTATATCTTCTTCAATTTCCTTCATAAGATTTCTATAGTTTTCAGCATACAGATCTTTTACATCTTTGCTTAGATTTATTCCTAGGTATTTTATGCTTCTTGGTGCAATTGTGAATGGGATCAATTTCTTTATTTGTCTTTCTGTTGCTTCATTATTAGTGTATAAGAATGCAACTGATTTCTGTACATTGATTTTGTATCCTGCAACTTTGCTGAATTCATGTATCAGTTCTAGCAGACTTCTGGTGGAGTCTATCGGATTTTCCATGTATAATATCATGTCATCTGCAAAAAATGAAAGTTTAACTTCATCTTTGCCAATTTTGATGCCTTTGATTTCCTTTTGTTGTCTGATTGCTGATGCTAGAACTTCTAACAACACTATGTTAAACAACAGCGGTGAGAGTGGACATCCCTGTCGTGTTCCTGATCTCAGGGAAAAAGTCTCAGTTTTTCCCCATGGAGGATGATGTTAGTTGTGGGCTTTTCATAAATGGCTTTTATGATCTTTAAGTATGTTCCTTCTATCCCGACTCTCTCGAGGGTTTTTATTAAGAAAGGTTGCTGAATTTTGTCAAAGGCCTTTTCTGCATCAATTGACAGGATCATATGGTTCTTATCTTTTGTTTTATTAATGTGATGTATCACATTGATTGATTTGTGAATGTTGAACCAGCCCTGCTTCCCAGGAATGAATCCCACTTGATCATGGTGAATAATTCTTTTTATATGCTGTTGAATTCGATTTGCTAGTATCTTATTGAGAATTTTTGCATCCATATGCATCAGGGATATTGGCCTGTAGTTCTCTTTTTTTACTGGGTCTCTGTCTGGTTTAGGAATCAAAGTAATACTGGCTTCATAGAATGAGTCTGGAAGTTTTCCTTCCCTTTCTATTTCTTGGAATAGCTTGAGAAGGATAGGTATTATCTCTGCTTTAAACATCTGGTAGAACTCCCCTGGGAAGCCATCTGGTCCTGGACTCTTATTTGTTGGGAGATTTTTGATGACTGATTCAATTTCTTCACTGGTTATGGGTCTGTTCAAGCTTTCTATTTCCTCCTGATTGAGTTTTGGAAGAGTGTGGGTGTTTAGGAATTTGTCCATTTCTTCCAGGTTGTCCAGTTTGTGGGCATATAATTTTTCATAGTATTCCCTGATAATTGCTTGTATGTCTGAGGGATTGGTTGTAATAATTCCATTTTCATTCATGATTTTATCTATTTGGGTCATCTCCCGTTTCTTTTTGAGAAGCCTGGCTAGAGGTTTGTCAATTTTGTTTATTTTTTCAAAAAACCAACTCTTGGTTTCGTTGATCTGCTCTACAGTTTTTTTAGATTCTATATTGTTTATTTCTGCTCTGATCTTTATTATTTCTCTTCTTCTGCTGGGTTTAGGCTGCCTTTGCTGTTCTGCTTCTATTTCCTTTAGGTGTGCTGTTAGATTTTGTATTTGGGATTTTTCTTGTTTCTTGAGATAGGCCTGGATTGCAATGTATTTTCCTCTCAGGACTGCCTTCACTGCATCCCAAAGCGTTTGGATTGTTGTATTTTCATTTTCATTTGTTTCCATATATTTTTTAATTTCTTCTCTAATTGCCTGGTTGACCCATTCATTCTTTAGTAGGGTGTTCTTTAACCTCCATGCTTTTGGAGGTTTTCCAGACTTTTTCCTGTGGTTGATTTCAAGCTTCATAGCATTGTGGTCTGAAAGTATGCATGGTATGATTTCAATTCTTGTATATTTATGAAGGGCTGTTTTGTGACCCAGTATGTGATCTATCAAAGGAAAGGTTTCTAGATAAGATGATATCTTGAGCTTAGCTTCTCACCTCTGTGTTTATCAATTAGGAATCTTGCAGCTGCAAATGAAAGGAAACCCAATTCAAATTGTCTTTGGTCAGAAAACATATTAATTGGCTCACGTATCTGAAAAGTGCAAGGGATACACTTTTTACACTCCAGGGCTCAGATGATAGTGCCAGGCTTCTGGTTTGAGGCTTTACCACTGACAATGGCAAATCCACTCTTACACAGCCTCTCCCCTCACAATTGCAAACAGCACTGATGCAGCATATCTAGCACCACATTCTCTCAGGCGCAGACCCCATGGGAGAGAACAAGGACCTCTTCCCAGAAAGTGCGGCAAAAGGCTTTATCTGTCTCATTCTCTGATCTTTAAGCACAGGGACTGATATTTTTGCAGATTAGCTCCCCAAAGGAAAGATGATTTATGGTTACAACAAAAAGGTGCCTGGATGCAGGGTCTCTGGAACAACAGAGATTCGCTATGTTCCCTCTTATCCAGATTCCCATTCAAATGGCCATCTCATATACTAATAAAGGAAAAACCCACTCAGTCCAGGGAATAGGTAAGCAGTAATATTCCCAAATCAGAATATTGGAAGGATTTATCCAGATACTATGTATATGTGAACAGATTAAAAGAATCTACCCGGCAACTTATTTGGGAAAGGAATAACAGAAAACCTGGTAGAAATCTTCTATGAGTCTAAATCAGAGTGAAGAGTGGAGGGAAGCAAAGTAAGCCCAGAAAGACCACACACCATGGTCTCAGGAAGTGTAATAGGTTTCAGGACCATAGTATGTGAGACACCCATGGTGCTGATGGCAAGCTTACCCTTTCTCTGAACCACCAGACTGATGGAGAGTATGGCATTGGGCTCTTTTTTTTCTTAATTTTTTAATGTTTATTTATTTTTGAGAGAGAGAGACAGAGTGCAAGCAAGGGAGGGGCAGAGAGAGAGGGAGAGACAGAATATGAAGCAGGCTCCAGGCTTCGAACTGTCAGCACAGAGCCTGATGTAGGGCTCAACCCACGAACTGTGAGATCATGACCTGAGCTGAAGTCAGATGCTTTACTGACTGAGCCACCCAGGTGCCCCTGCACTGGGCTCTTAATAAAGGAACCTCCAGGCAAAGAGTGGAGATCTTGCTTTGGCCTCCCCCTGGCACCACAGTAATGGTGACAGAAAAATAATTCCTTACATAGGTAAGGATTCCTGTCACCACTCTGTCTAGCCCTGTCTCTTTCTTCTCATACCCTCCATATTTCCGGATTTCTGAACTAAGAGAGTTAGCTGCAATAATCTCCAACTTCTCTCTTCTCTCTTTCTCTGATTTTTAAAAAATGAACAGAAATTCACATGGTACCTGAAAGAATCTATTTTCATTCCCAATCCTGCCAATCATAGATTTTCCCTTATAAGGATGAGGAAAGAATTAAAACAAACAAAAAGAAAACAAAACAAACAAACAAAAAAAACACCTCCCTGGACATATGAAATAACATATGCATTCAAAAGAGTTTTTTTTTCCCTGAGAAATCAGCCGATGATCAGCATTCCCCATAAGATAAACTTGCCACAAGAAATAAAAGTATAGTGTGTTCTGAATTATGTTGTATGAAGGTTCAATCCAACATTAAGTTCATGGACGAAGAATAAGTCATGAGTGATTATACTGTGAGACTAAGAAAGATTTCATGCAAAGTAATGTATGATCCTAGAATTTAAATTTGCAATGGAGATAATAAAAAGCAGATTAGATGAATGCTGTATATTCCAAACCCCAAACTTGGATCAACCTAGATGTTTATTTTTAATCTGTCAACACCCAAGGAACTAGGAAAAATAAAATTGTATAAGTGATTGTACTTTAAATTGATGATTGAAAAACTTTACTTTGTCATTCAACATTTCCCAACAATTCAACTACATTTTCCAAGTAAATGTGGTTTCCCACTAGTTGAGTTGACCATTTCACACCTTCACTTAAGACATTCTACATAAGCAAGGACCATGCTAGAATCAATGCAGAGCAGGAAATGAAGGCGGCGGTATCTAATACGATTCCAAAGTTTGAGAGGTTGTGGCTAAGAATATGCATATCCCATTAGCAAGTAATTGTGGTTAAAAATGAGATTAAAATATTATTTTTTATTTTTTAAAGTTGGACATTTTACACTTAGAGAATAATCTTACCTCATCTTTATTAAGAATATAGAGGCCATCAGTTTGGGAATTCCTTACACCAGCAAACATACAAACCTGCCTCTTTTTTTTTTTTTTGGACTGGTATAGATATGTATGTTTACGAAAAATAATGCAAAGAATCATCCTCTTTAAAAATTACTCATTACAACCTGAAATGATTTTTTATGCTCAAAATTTTAACTGAGAAGCTAGTGTTTACCTTTTTAGTTATATAATAACACACATACAGAAATATACACAAAATGAAAAATGTAGCTCAGTGATTTGTCACAAAGTATATACCTCGACAGCCACTATCCATGTGAGAAATAGGACATCACCAGCACCCAAAAATCCCCCTCTGCTCCCCCCATTGTTATCTCTTCCCCCAAGACAACCACTATTCTAACTTTTATTGTAACTACTTTCTTAATTGTTTTTATTTCCAGGCTATGCATTCCTAAACATTAGAGTTTAACTTTGTTTATATTTTAAAGGTTTTTTTATTATTAAAAAAATTGACATACGAAGTTGTATTGGCTCCAGGTGTAAAACATAGTGATTGAACAATTCTATACATTATGCAATACTCACTACCATCTTTTCTTTCTTCCCTTTTTTTTTTATAAGAGGACATGTCCTTACCCTCTTCAAAGATCAATCTCTGGGGTGCCTGGGTGGCTCAGTCAGTTAAGCATTCAACTTCAGCTCAGGTTATGATCTCATGGCTCATGGGTTCAAGCCCCGCATCAGGCTCAACACTGACAGCTTGGAGCCTGGAGCCTGCTTCAGATTCTGTGTCTCCCTCTTTCTCTGCTCCCCCCCCCTGCCCCCCGCTTGTGCTCTGTCTCTGTCTCTCAAAAATAAATAAAGATTAAAAAAATTATTTTTTCAAGATCAATCTCTCAGTCCCTCTACCTATATCATCTAGGCATATTCCCATAAACCTAAACACATAGTTTAGTTTCTCTGAATAAAAATTAACAATAATTAAATAAGAGTGCTCATCTTACCACAAAACATGCTATTCCCATTTCCACACCATTTTTTCCCTGCTTTTCATAGCACAATATCTCAAAGAATTGCTTACATTCATTTTCTCCAGTTCTTCATCAAATATTCTTGCCTCCACCTATGTTATCTGGCTTCTGTCCCAACCTCTCCACTAACACAGTTTTTATTAAAAACAACAATAATCTATATATTGCTAAATCCAGTGGATACCTTCTTTTTCCTTAATGATCTCTCAGCCACATTTGAAATAATTGGTACTCTTTTCTCAGTGAAAATATTCCCATTTTCTGCTTTTTCACATCATGCTCTTCAGGGTTTTTTTTTGTTTTTTTGTTTTTTTTCTTATCATACCAACTATTTCTTCTACATCTCCTTCGCGGTCAACTCCTCCATCCAATGTCTCAGTGCTGAAGTTCTTCAGGGATCCAAATGGAGCCACTTTCCCTCCTCTATCTATACATCCTTTCTCCAGATCTTCCCTTGATGTAAATACTGTCTATGTGCTAACAATGTTGAAATTCTAATTCCAGAACAGACTTTTCCTCTGAGATTCTGTCTCATATGAAAAACTCCCTCTTAACATCTCCAATGGCTTATTGGCTGTCTCATGACTGTTTCTCTACTGTCTTTCCTATCACTACAAATTGTCCCATTGTTTTCAAGCAAAAGACTGTGGAATTATTTTCTTCCTTTAGCAAAACATCCAGTAAATCAGCAAATCTTTTCAGGAGCAATCTGTTGCCATCACCTTAGTCCAGCCACATCTCTCACATGGACTCCTGAGATAGCCAACTAACTGGACTATTTTCACTTTTGCCTTTCTACAACCTATTCGCCCTATATAGAGCATTCATAGCAGTCCTTTGAGAACATACATCTGTCAGGGCACCTGGGTGGCTCAGTAGGTTAAGTGTCCGACTCTTGATTTCAGCTCAGGTCATGATCTCATGGCTCAGGGATTGAGTCCAATGTCAGGTTCTGTGCTGACAGCAGAACCTGCTTGGGATTTTCTCTCTCTCCGCCCCTCCCCCATTCATACTTTTTTCCCTCTCTCTCTCAAAATTAAAAACAACAACAACAACAACAACAACAACAACAACAACAACAAACCAAAACATCTCTCTCTGCTGACAAGACTTCAAATGGCTTTCCACTGCACTTTAAATCCTTGTCTTCTTCATCTCATGCCATGGCTGTTTTTTCTCACTATGCTCTAGTGACACTGGACTTTTTTCATTCCTAGAATGGCCAAAGCTTTTTGCTTTACATTTTCTTCTGCTTGGGCCATTCTTTCTCCAGCCTTCATATGACCAGTCTTGCTCATCTTTTTGCATAAGTGTTACCTCCAGAGGGAAGGTTTCCTTGCCCATGCTCTCCTAAGTAGAGTCCTGAGGGTATTCTCTACCACAACACCCCATTGTTTATTATCTTTATTTTCTATCAGCCATAAGAGAGATGCTATCCAACAGGAGCTATGACATTTGGTTGAGGAATGCAGCCTCTGTTCCAACCAAGGCCAATGGAAGACAGCAGGTGAATAATTACCTCAACCTCACTCCTCATCCTTCTGATCCCTTGCTGGTTTCTTTTGACGACCAGAACTAGAGGGCAAAAGAAGCTAGATAATACAGTCAATAGAGGATAGCCTTCTGCAAAATGTAGCAGGACAAGAGGGGCTGAGGGACAAAAATGAATCTATGGGGCAAATGGAGACTGCTCTGTATATAGATTGAAGATAGAACAAAGTGAGTTTAATAGGAATTCAAGAAGAAAAGCATAAGGCATACTGTGCAAAGGCTATGATCAAAGAAAAAATAGGAAAATAAAATATTTCCTGAATTGAAGAAAGATCT